GGGGGGGGGGGTGTTCAAAAGAGATAAGGGTTCCATGCCCCAGTTGCCAGTGAAACATCCCACCTCTCCCCCACAAGACCACATCTTTATTTGACAGTCATTTAGCACTTGGGGAATCAATCAATGCTCCTGGCATCCATAGTGTCTGGGACATGGTCAGTTGTAAAACATGATTTACTGTGTGCCAGCATCATGAGAAGGATAGAAGGCTGGGCTTTGCCTTCAAATAGCTCACAATCTCACTGGGGGAGACAAATTGATTGTTTCTGAGATCATTGGAAACCCCAGGAGTTCCAGCCAGGGAAAACCTGATGTCAATTTCACAGCCCCTGGGAATTCACTGGGTGGATCCACTGGTTCTCTTGACCAAGTGCGACTTTCCTATTATTTTTCTGGTTTTATAAATATGATAGTTTCTGGTTTATAAATTCCAACTTGACCATAAGCTCCTCAAAGAAAGGGACATCGCGGCACCATGTCTGGTAGCCACTCTCACCCGACCCCTTCTCAGCACCTGATACAGGCCAGAGCATGAGTGAATGAGTGAATGATCATCACCATTGACAGGCATTCATCACTGGGCACCTTCATGAGATATAACCGAGAAAGCGTGAATGGGTTCTCCAGTTCTGGTAGTTTATGGGGCATGGAAAGAGCATTCTCTCCTTAAGTAGTGCCTCTCCTCTCTTGCTAAATGTTACCCACAGATTCTGAGTCTTTTCTACAAGAAAATACTGAGACTCAAGTCCAGAAGTGTGAATTGGACAAGAGCCCTTTGCCTTCCTACTTCCATTTGTGTACCTCTTAACTGGCTATTTGTACCAGTGATTGCTCTTGGTTTAGTGGGAGAGGTCTATTTCAGGGTTTCTCAAATTAAATGCAAGCTGTGGTGAGAAGACTGTTGCCCCGTCCTTTCTGCTTCCTTCTGCCTGGCTCCCAGCTGGCTCCTGGTGCCCCTTATGCCTTCTCTAGGATAGTTTTACTGGAAGCTTCCTCAGAGTCAGTGCTCTGGAGCCTTGGTTTTCATCCATGGGGCTGCACTGTTTGTTGTTTGCCTCGCTGTCTTGGAGGCTAACACCGCCTGCTTCAGCTTGCTGATGCTGCAGCCATCTGTAACCTGTATCAACACTGGGTGCTTTGAAGTTCAATGTGCAATAAAAAGTTCATTAAAAAGATGTGGAATCATGAAAATGAGGTTACAGAAATGTTAACAAAGGATCATTTCCTGCTTCCTGTACTATTATTTTTTCTTTTTTTAAGTGTATTTCTCTGAGGAATTTATGTCACCATTAAAACTACGGAAGAGGTAAAGGAAGGACAGGCCCAGGTCAAAAAGAGGGTGAGATTCCTGAGGAGATGGCTTGGCAGTGACCCAGCCTGTTTTCTTAATTGAGAACTTAGGGTCTACAGGGAGAATTTAGGCCGAAAAAAGTAGGGACAGATCTAGAATTCTTATGACTAATGGTTTGAACCCAGCCTTTTAGTTTGGGATGACTCCAAATGGATCCCAACAGCCTCCAGTCATGTAAGGTCTGTGGCAATGTAAGCGACACTTGGAATCACTGAATTCAGCCTCCACGCAGTGACATGCACAGTGCCTCCTGTCTACTTGAGGTGGAAGAAGGGGAGGGGGGAGGGAGAAGAAAGTGAAGAGAGAGAGGTTCATGGGCTAGGGTCACAGAGTCACTAAGACTGCTTGTGACACCCTTGGTGGCTTGTTCACTGCCACACTGGCTTGCTTTCCAGTCATGACCTTCTGACATGAGCAGAAGTCAAGTTCTAAGCCTGTCAACCTGTCCACCTCCCACATTTTGTTTGACTTGGCTCAGGCCAGGTTCCAGTTGGTAGCAGAGCCAGGCTCTTCCCTCCAATCATGAAGCCTCCTAGAGGGCCCTGGTTCTCTTGTTAAAGGAAGGGCAGCCATAGATGATCATTCCTGGTGAATACATTGTCACTTCTCTAATGACAAACGGTGACACTGTCAGCACTTTTATTTCTTGGCATACACACAGGTGCTGGAATAATGTACCCTGGGAACCAAAGCTAAATAAGCAGCTCCCTTTGGGGCAAGGTCCCTGCTTTTCGTGGGCCCTTGTGCTTGGCAGTAGGCGTGCCCACACACCATGCATGCCCAGCCCCAGCAGCCTTGCTGGCCTCTGTTTTGGGGCAAATATTCCTAGAGACTCCCTTCCCTATGTGGTCATTAATGACCATTGAATAGTAAGCAATTATGTGATTATCACTTACTTTTTAGCCAGAGGGCCGCTGTGCATACACTTAGTAGCCACTGTCTTAGTTCTAGTGACGACAGTGCCTTGTCCTACCAAGTGACTGCGAGGACCTTAACAGATTGCACATCTAATGAACAAAACAGCAAAGTTTGGGGGGCCTGCTGCTGGATGGCCCAGGCTGGAGCCAGACTTACCCTGTCTCTTGAGACCCGGCTGTAGTTGAGTCTCATGAGTTCTGCAAACCTCTGCTCATAGAGGTGAAGCAGCAGCACCAGGTACAAGCCTGAATTCATCAGCTCATTTTGCACCTAAATTTGGAAAAGAAAGCTCTTAAGTTCATCTATAAAATATTCATGGAGGGTAACAAGGTCAAGAGGTGACAAGAAGTAGGAAGAGGGCTCAAGCCACAAGGCCAGGCCTGCCCTTGGGAACCAGAGAACAGAGCAGGAGGGGATCTGGGGTAGAGGCCGGGCAGCCACCTGGGAATTCTTTACTACCTACTGGAGGATGCCCTGGAAAAGCTCCAGGCTGCAGGCCGAGTATGACATGGGCAAGACTTCTTTGATGACCCTTAAAGGATTGGGGGGGGGGGCTTTGGTAGGTGGTCATGAGGGGTATTAAGTGCCTCTCAGAGGCACTGAATGCCAGCAAAGACAGGGATGAAGAGAGCAGAGTGTGCTTTGGCCAAAATTCCCTACTCACTGGTATGGCTGGAGTATATGGGGAGGGCATTTGTTTAAGATTTTAAAAAAATTTTGGCATGGGCTGGGGAGATGGTGAGGTGGGACCGTATTAGGCAGAAGTAAGGAGTATGGATGTCATGCTCTATGTATGTAACTACGGTCTCTGAGCACAGGAGATGTATGTCTTAGGAAGGCAAACTTTTCTGGGGCAGATTCTGGGACACAGGTGCCATGGTGGGGGGGGGGTGTGTGCTTTATTTTCTTAGATCCCTTATTTGCCCAGAAAAGGGCCCAAGGCCTTGGTTCTTTACATTTCTCCCTTTACGATTGGACTTGATAGTCTCACCTAAGCCCTCAAGCCTCACCCATCCAGGCTGATCTATTACCATTTAACCCCTGGACAGCATGTGCCGGGCAGGGTCTCAGATGGCACTTTGAACCTCAGGCCCTTTGCTCACACTCTTCCTCGTTTGATCTGTTGGCTTGTTTTTGTGCCTCTGTTTTGAATGCCCCTCTCCACCTTTCTGCCAGGCGGTGCCCACAACTTCTTTTATTGCTGTCAAAATGTCACCTCCTTGCAAAAGCCTTCCTAACAATTGTCCCAATCATTCCTTTACTTCTTGACTCCTAAGCATTTTTCTATATTTTGTACACTGCATCTAACATATGTTAATGTTTCTGCCTTTTCTTGGTGGGTGGGTTGTGTTTTATTTTTCTCACTGGTGCTTAGAACATAGGGAGATACAGAGGGCGGACCCGGCCGCCTGGCTGACCATGGCTCTTCTGTCCTCAGCTCCTTTGGCGGCCTGTGTTCCAAAGCCTCGCCCTGTGGATGCTTCATTGACCTTCAATAAATTAGTGGCATTAGCAACGACTCCTCCCCTCCACCACTTTAATCCCCCATCTGTCCTCATGCCAAATCCCCATGGGCGGGGGCCTTGGGAATGAGCCAGACGGTGCTCAGGAAGCCCCGGGGAGGGGGGTTGGCAAGGAGACTAAGATCTCCATCAGAGGGCATGGCCCTTTCCTAGGCCCTTGGGAAAGGTCTGAACTGTCCCCGCTTTCCCAGGACAACTGAAGCTTGGTCTTGACACAGTGACCACCTCAGTGCTTCTTCCTTCCTCCTGCAGTAGCTAGAGGGCTTCACGGGCCCATCTCCACGTTCCCGTTTCATCAAGGGCAGCTCAGGAAACGGGCACAGAGCACACCTCTTCCAGGATGAAACAGCTGCCAGAAAAGGTGCCCAAGTTGAGCAAGGATCGATGCTTTCTTCCTTCTGAATTGGGGCCAACTCCAGATCTCTGTGACTGCTGGCTGCAAGGTCACAGCTCAAGGCCTCTCCACTGCCCTACAGACTCATCTTCAAAAGCTCTCAACTGTCCTTAGCAGTCAGCCTCCTATTTTTAGACTTTAGTCACGTTCTTCTGTACTCCTTTGACCTTGGCCTGGAGCAGGCAGAGAGGAAGCTGCTTGTTTTCACTTTTTTCTGCTTTAATTGCCTCCTCCCACTTCCCCATGAGTGGGTGCCTCCTTTATGGTCTGTCTGCAAGCCACCTCCTCTGGGAAGCCTTCCCAACCTACCCCTTAGCTCTTTAACACAAACCAAGCCTTGTCCTGTTTGCTTTTCCAGGGGCGGTGGCCTCCTGCAAGCTGCCACTCTCTCTCCTGCACTGTCATCACCAGTAAGCCTCTTACGCTCAGAGACGCTCCGATGCATAATGGCAAGTCAATCAGCTAGAAAATGGCTTGGAACTATCAGGTTTGTCAAAGCATTCAGGGAAATCATTTACTTTTTATGACTCAATAAGGCCTGGAGGCATGCAGATGGGAAAATATCCACTAATGTTTTCTGCAGATAATTTGAAAAGTCACTTCCAACAGACTGTGTCTCTTCCCTGGTCTGTGGGAGGGAACCTGTCATGTGGCACCATAAATCTCACTGGCCAGGCTCCTTTATGTGGCTCTTTGCAGAGCTTGTGATGCTCTACAAAGGGGCTGGGCCGGCCACTTCGGCAGGCAGTGCATCGTCTCTGGGACATCCTTTATACACCCAGCCGCAAGTGGGAGGGGTTGGTTATCACAGAGAGAGTTCTGTGGTGTTTGTTCGAAGGGGCAAAACAAACTAGGTTTTGGAGTGTTATTTATTGGACTACTCCTGAACCCCCCCCCCCATGCAGTGTGGGGGTT